CCTTGTTCCAGTTTTAAGTTTGGAAAGATAGTGTTGATGTTCATCAAGGTAGGGAACGTTTTGGGGGTCAGTGTTGAATTTTGGGAGGAAAAGAGGGTCTGGATTTGGGTTCTGGGACCTAGAACTTTAAGGAACTTCATTTAATGGCTAGGTAGGTAGAAGAGGATAAGCCTATAAAGGACAAAGAGAAGGAATGGTTAAAGAGATAGGAGGAAAACCAAGGAGTCTGGCAGATGTTAAGAGAACGTAGGGTTTGCAAAGGAGTGAATGAATGCTCAACTGGGTTAGAGATATTGAGATAGTATAGATTTGTCAACAAGTAAGGTGAACTTTTAGTAAGAGCCCTTCTAATGTCAGGAGGATGAAAGCTTGTATGTAGTAGGTTGAAGTGAGAGTGAGAGATGAGATGAGACTGACGATAGACTATTTTTTATTTTTATTTTTTTTAAAGAGAGAGTGAGAGAGAATTTTTTAATATTTATTTTTTAGTTTTCAGTGGACACAACATCTTTTTTGTTTTGTATGTGGTGCTGAGGATCGAACCCAGGCCGCACGCATGCCAGGCGAGCGCGCCTCTGCTTGAACCACATCCCTAGCCCCAATAGACTGTTTTTTAAAAACCATGTTTCTAAAGAGGAGAAGAAAGGGAAAGTGATAGCTGGGGTATTAATGTTGAGAAGGGATGGGTTAGAGAAGTCAAGTCAGGATTTTTGGTTTTTGCCCAAGTTGAAAGCAGAGTGAGCATGTTTAAATGTAGGTGGAGATGTTAAGGAAGGGGGGAACATAAGGATTGTGGAGGACTAATTTATAGTTTAGGATTTCCATTAAGTTAGAGAATTTGGTTGTTGGGATAGTCCATATAGGTGTTGGTATAAAATACTTTTGAGTTAGGATTCAAAGCATTAGGGGGATTAGATCTTAGATATTAATAGGGGCAATTATGTTAATAAGATGTAGGATAAATACAGATGCTGGTAGCCTTATAGATTTTATGAGAAAACAGCTTCAGCTTTCCTCTTGTGGCAAATACCTCAGAGAGTGCTAAGAGGAACCAAGTGTAGAGTCAGGCATTGAGATTTGTATCCCTGATGCTTAAGTAAGAATGCTTTGTAACTTTGTTTTGTCTAAAATTTTGTTTGAAAATATGTTTTGTGGCTTTAAAAAGTGACTAAAATCATTAGAATCATTAGACTATGTAAATATAAAATATTTTTTGCTTTATTTTTATGTGCTAGGATAGGTGTTGAAAATGTTTTGGTTTTTTAGCAGTGAAGTAGTAATTTTTACATTTTCTTTTTAAAAAATATTTTTATTAGCTATTGATGGACCTTTAATTATTTGTTTTATATGTTGTGCTGAGAATTGAACCCAGTGCCTCACACATGCTAGGCAAGTGCTGTACCACTGAGCCACAACCCCAGCCCCAATTTTTACATTTTCTCATGTGTTTATTTATCTAATAGTTTATTAAGCACTTAACTTCAAGTCCTACGTTAGATACCATGTAGACAGATAAACAAGTTTAATCCTATATCTTTTATATAGGATATGAACAAGTTAACCAGCAATTTTAGTATTAGTGAAAGGGTCTTTTGAATCCCCAGATTGGGCAAGAACCTGTGTGTTTCTGTGAATGAGAATCATAGTTATTAGATTTCCACTGAAGGTTAAGTATCAAGTTATATTAAGAACAATTAATTTGATAAATACTATAGAATGCCAGGAGATGAAGGAACATTTTAAAAGGAATATAATGTCCTACAGGAACACAAAGAATGTACATAAAGAAGGGGCAGAGTTGTGAATAGATCATGGAAGTCAGTGAGGCATATAGATTAAAACATGAAAGAGATTGAGGTGCGGAAGTGGGTGTGTAAAAAGAAGATTGCCAGCATAGGAATCAGCTTCTATAAAGTCTCAAAAGCTGGAGAAAATATGAGGAGTTTAAGAACTGAAGTGAAAGTTGATTTTTGAAAAATCAAAATATATTATCAAAGAAAGCTTTAGGCAAAGTGACTCAAAAAAGATAGAATTCTGCAGTACAGATTTTCAGGTTCTGTACCTGGAAAGATATTTTTGCCAGCAGTTGATAAAACAGGATCATCACAGAACTGAAGTTAGTAAGTAATGAACTTTATTTTTTTGAAGTATAATTTTGGTGGGTGGTGTGGGTACCAGAGATTGAACTCAGGGGCACTCAACCACTGAGCCACATCCTCAGCCCTATTTTGTATTTTTATATTTTATTTAGAGACAGGGTCTCACTGAATTGCTTAGTGCCTCGCTTTTGCTGAGGCTGGTTTTGAACTCGGGATCCTGCTGCCTCAACCTCCTGAGCCACTGGGATTACAGGTGTGTGCCACCACACACAGCTGAAGTATAAATTTTTAAAGGAATTTTGAGCATTTAAGAAATTACATTGAAATAATTACCACATGTAAGTTTAGAACTGAAAGGGACCTTAAAAATATTCTAGACTTTTTCATTTAAATTTTATCTTTTATAACTTTTAAATTTTGTTTTTGACATATAAATGTTTCTACATATTTATGAGGTACAGTGTATTTTTTTTTTTTTTTTTTTGTTTTTGTACTAGGGATTGAACCCAGGGTACTTTACCTGGAGCTATATCCCCAGTCTTTTTATTTTTTATTTTGAGACAGAATTTGCTAAGTTGCTGAGACTGGCAACTCCGCCTCCTTTAATCCTTCCTATTGCTGGGTTCACAGGCGTGCACATCCCACCCGACCACTGTGTTATTTTGATACATATATACCTTATGTGATGATCAAATTAGGGTATTTAGCATATCTATCACCTCATAAATTTATCATTTCTTTATGCTAAGAACATTTAAAGTCTTCCCTCTAGCTATTTTGAAATATTTTGGTAACCATAGTCACCTTACTATGCAGTAGAGTTGAAGAACATACTGGAAAAGATCAGAGAAAAGTGTAAATATAGTTTTTAGGTTCTCATATTTTGTTATATTTTCTTCTAAATACTTTTTAATGTCAGGTTTTAAATTTTTTTTTTAGTTGTCGATAGACCTTTATTTTATTCATTTATTTATATGTGGTGCTGAGAATCGAACCCAGTGCCTCACATTGGTCAGGCAAGCGCTGTACCTCTGAGCCACAATCCCAGCCCAAATGTCAGTTTTATTTAATCATACTAGCGGTTTCTGGAAAATGTTCTAAGTGAATATGATATTATGGAAAAAAGGGGTGTTGTAGCTAAAGTTTAGAAAATTGTGGTTGAAATAAAATTAAATAAATGTATCTGAAGATTTCTTAATGTCAGTGGACTTTTAAAATCTCCAACTAGGTATGTAGTGTGAAAATTTGCATTATGCATGTTTTATTAGAACCCCTTTTTGTAAAGTTTTTGATACTGCCAAGACTTTTTAACTACCTACTGTGTGCCGGACTCTGCAGTTTAAAATGATCAAAGTGTGACAGTATGACTCCATTTTATCCACAATAGCAGTATGTTATGATGAAAAGTAAGATGGGTTTCCCTTTTTGGCTCCAGCTTAGGAGGAAGTGTAATAACCAACTTTTAAAGAATATCACTCGTGGTCTTGTGCAGTGGTGTGTTACAGATAATTACAGGATGGAATGAAATGGTTTAATTCCTTATCTACTCCTCATTAGTCCTATCATAAAAAATTCATCTTAAAAACTCATGAATTGGAGAGCAGTTTTGAAACTGCTTGGTCTCAGAACCCCTTTACACTATTATTGAGGTCCCTTTATGTGGGTTATAATTTATTGGTATTTACCATAATAGTGACTTACCACTTGACACATTAGAAGCCTAGTGAATACTTTCATGTTAATACAAATAATAGTATAAATTTTATAAAAACTTCTGTGAGGAGAGGTGTTGTTTTACATTTTTGTCGATCTTTGGTGTCTAGATAAATACAGGACTGTTAGAATTCCATATCAGTTTCTACATTCAATCTTTGTGATATCTCTAGTCATATATGTAGTAAAAAAGGAAATGCAGTATCAATGGTATTCATTTTTTTATCTGTAAAACTTCCAGGGGTTTCTAGAACATGCTTTTGAAAACACCTTTAATGGTGCAGTTAGGTACTTAACTGACATCTTTTATACCTTGGTAGCTGTATATAAAGTGATAAAATAGTATATTTTTGTTCTAATTTAAATCTGTTTAAATTGTGTGGTACTGCTCATTTCTTTAAAGACAAGAGTATAAAAATATCAGCATTTCATAATTGGTTTCAAATGCTAACAGAAATTAATCAGTGTTTTGGAGTTGTTCCTAAAGTTTTTATGGTAGTTAGGTTTATTTTATATTTGAAACTTGCCTAAAGCAAGAGTTGGAATTTTGCCTTTTATAAAAGATTTTTGGTAAGTTATAAAATTCGGTGTAGATATTAAGTGTTCTTAAGTTTTGTAATGAGAATATAAACTTGTCAATTATTTAATCCTTTTTTTTTTTAGAGAGAGAGAGAGAATTTTAATATTTATTTTTTAGTTATCCGAGGACACAACATCCTTTGTTTGTATGTGGTGCTGAGGATCGAATCCGGGCTGCATGCATGCCAAGCGAGAGCGCTACCACTTGAGCCACATCCCCAGCCCCAATTGTTTAATTCTTAATTATTCTGGAGATTTTCTTCATAATATCAGGGTCTCAAAAACATTTATTGTCTTTTGTAGTTGGATGATTTTTTTCTTTGGTTGTTTCTTAAAGTTCTTGAAAAATCCAAGTGATAAACTGAAATATATAATGCTATGTTTTTTATTCATTAGCATTTTCATTGACTAGCATCTGTTAATTCATATATCTTGCTACATTTAGGTTACATTAGTTTTTAGCTTTTTTTTTTTTTTTTGGTCTTCAGCGGACTAAGTGATGGTTAGTGCAGCTATTTTTTATGAAACAAGTGGTTTTACATTCCACTTGTTGTAAAGAATTATATAATTTTACATAACAAATATTTTTGTTTGTCTTTCACATAATAGGTGAAGTATTACAGACATCTAGCACCTGATCACTTGCTGCAAATATGTCATCGACTAGGACCACTTCTTGAACAAGAAATTCCTCAAAGTGTTCCTGGAGTACAAACTTTATTAGGAGCTGGAAGACAGTCCTTGCTACGTACAAATAAAAGTAAGGAAATTTTCCAGTATAATTTAGACATTCTTTTTCTCACTTTGTTCTTGTGTCCTATTTTTGTATTCATAAAAATATGTGTGTTTAATAGGCTGCAAGCATGTTGTATGGAAAGGATCTGCTCTGGCTGCATTGCATTGTGGAAGACCACCTGAGTCACCAATTAACTATGGTAGCCCACCCAGCATTGGTGAGTTGAGTTCTTTTTATAATTGATATCCTCTTGGTAAATAGTATTTGAAAATAAAAAGTTTTTTTATTTACTGTGCTGTCACAGAATCTCATATGCATCAGCATTCAAAGAGGAAAGAACTATCAGATTTTTTCTTACATTAATAGTTTTAATAACAAAGTCATAATAATGTGTAATTATGGAACATACATTGTGCCTTGTGTAAGCTAATTAGCTCTTTAGTGTTTTATTTTTACAAACCTTTTTTACTAAACTGGATGTTATTAGATTGAGTTTAGTAGTGTTAGTATCACAATTCAGATTTGTTACTGTAGAAAACAAAAGCAGTTTGGTTATCTGTAAGTCCTGTGCATATTTTTGTCTATAAAATTTCAAAGAAGAACTGTTGCAGATAGGTCTTCCTCTTGAGTTCAATATTTCTTTCACTTCAACTACTTCTAGATCCTTGTTTTACCTGGGATTGATAAAGCATTTTCTGAACTAGACTTAATTGCTTCCATTTTCCACCTTTCTTCCTTCCAGCATACTATGTGACACTGTAATAGTAATCTTATTCAGTTCTCCTATTACTGTGTCTTTCTTTTACTCAAGAACTTATGAAGAAGTTGATTATAATATTTTTTTCAGTTTTTTATTTATTTTTTTATTATTGTTCAAAACATTACAGAGCTCTTGACATATCATATTTCATACATTTGATTCAAGTGGATTATGAACTCCCATTTTTACCCTGTATACAGATTGCAGAATCACATGGGTTACACATCCACGTTTTACATACTGCCATACTAGTGTATGTTGTATTCTTCTGCCCTTCCTATCCCCTTCCTATCCCCCCTCCCCTCTCTCTACCTCATCTATCATAACTCATTTCTCTCTCTTGTTTTTTTTTTCACCCTTTCCCCTCACTTTCTCTTATATGTAATTTTGTATAACAATGAGGGTCCCCTTCCATTTCCATGCAATTTCCCTTCTCTCTCCCTTTCCCTCCCACCTCTCATCCCTGTTTAATGATAATCTTCTTCTCATGCTCTTCCTCCCTGCTCTGTTCTTAGTTGCCCTCCTTATATCTAAGAAGACATTTGGCATTTGTTTTTTAGGGATTGGCTAGCTTCACTTAGCATAATCTGCTCTAATGCAATCCATTTCCCTGCAAGTGCCATGATTTTGTCATTTTTTATTGCTGAGTAATACTGCATTGTGTATAAATGCCACATTTTTTTTTATCCATTCATCTATTGAAGGGCATCTGGGTTGGTTCCACAGTCTAGCTATTATGAATTGTGCTGCTATGAACATCGATGTAGCTGTATCCCTATAATACGCTCTTTTAAGGTCTTTGGGGAATAGTCCGAGAAGGGGAATAGATGGGTCAAATGGTGGTTCCATTCCTAGCTTTCCCTGGAATCTCCATACTGTTTTCCAAATTGGCCCCACCAATTTGCAGTCCCACCAGCAATATACAAGTGTACCCTTTTCCCCACATCCTCAACAGCATTTTTGTTGTTTGACTTCATAATGGCTGCCAATCTTACTGGAGTGAGATGGTATCTTAGGGTGGTTTTGATTTGCATTTTTCTGACTGCTAGAGATGGTGAGCATTTTTTCATGTACTTGTTGATTGATTGTATGTCCTCCTGAGAAGTGTCTGTTCAGGTCCTTGGCCCATTTGTTGATTAGGTTATTTGTTTTCTTATTGTTTAATTTTTTGAATTCTTTGTATACTCTGGATATTAGGGCTCTATCTGAAGTGTGAGGAGTAAAAATTTGTTCCCATGATGTAGGCTCCCTATTTACCTCTCTTATTGTTTCTCTTGCTGAGAAAAAACTTTTTAGTTTGAGTGAGTCCCATTTGTTGATTCTTGTTTTTAACTCTTGTGCTATGTGTGTCCTATTAAGGAATTTGGAGCCCGACCCCACAATATGTAGATCGGAGCCAACTTTTTCTTTTATCAGACGCAAAGTCTCTGTTTTGATATCAAGCTCCTTGATCCATTTTGAGTTAACTTTTGTGCATGGCGAGAGAAAGGGATTCAGATTCATTTTGTTGCATATGGATTTCCAGTTTTCCCAGCACCATTTTTTGAAGATACTATCCTTTCTGCATTGCATGCTTTTAGCACCTTTGTCAAATATAAGATAGTTGTAATTTTGTGGATTGGTCTCCGTGTCCTCTATTCTGTACCATTGGTCCACCCGCCTGTTTTGGTACCAGTAACCATGCTGTTTTTGTTACTATTGCTCTGTAGTATAGTTTGAAGTCTGGTATCGCTATACCGCCTGTTTCACTCTTCCTGCTTAGAATTGCTTTTGCTATTCTGGGTCTTTTATTTTTAAAAATATGGAACACTTCACGAATTTGTGTGTCATCCTTGTGCAGGGGCCATGCTAATCTTCTCTGTATTGTTCCAATTTTAGTATATGTGCTGCTGAAGCGAGCACGATTATAATATTTTTAAAAAAATATTTTGTTGAAGTTGAACATAATACCTTTATTTTATCTTTATGTGGTGCTAAGGATTGAACCCAGGGTCTCGCCCGTGCTAGGTGTGCACTCTACCACTGAGCCACAGTCCAGTCCCATAATATTTTTAGTAATATTGTATTACATCTACCACTAAGTCAATTCCTGACTTTCAGAGACCTTCATATTTTAATTATATCCTTTCCCTGCACCTCCACCCTCCTGTTATGTTCCATCTTTGTTTCTATCCAACTCTTATTTCTTTTTCTCCTGGGTAATTATTTACTGATAATCATTAATACAGTTTCATATTTGATCTTTATATATGTCGTTTTCCATTGCTTACTTTTTTTAATCTTATTTTCCTTATCTCTTAAAAATGGCATTAAGAAATGGCTTTAAAAATATGACAATCTTTGTACTTTGTGTGGAACATTTAGTCCTTTTCGTGTAATTATTGATATATTTGTATTTAAATCATCTGTTATTACTTTGGAAATGATACTCTGGTTGCTTTAAATAAAAGATTTTTATTTTCCTTGATTTTCTGCAGTTTGACTACAGTGTGTTTTGGTGTCAGTATCTTTTATGTATCTTGTTTGAACTTATTAGTCTTTTTGAATTTGTAATGTCTTTTATTGAAACTGGAACATTCTCAGCCATTATCTTTTAAAATAATAGGCTCCATTTTTCCTTCTCTAAGACTTCAGTTGAACAAATACAAAACTTTCTCATTTTAGCCTCTCTTGTCCACTTTTATGTGTTTTATATCAGTTTGTTTTTCTGTGATGTGTAAAAACATTAAATACCAAGCTGATCATTGATGTACCTTTATGAATACTATTTGATTGTTATAATTTAAGTTAAAAAATATTTTTCTCTTCCATTCCTATTTTTAAGAAAATCTTACCTCTTTATATTAAGAAATTCCTCGACTAGAATGCCAGTTTTGCCTACTTTTAAAAAAATTTCTATTCACATATTTCTTTGAAATTGCTTAAGAGACGCTGGACTGGTCAAAATGACTATATAGTCATAATTATTGTCATGTCTTATCACAGTTCACCTGATGTACAGTTTGACAATCATTGTTATAAGTTTTGAACAGGAAAGTGATAGAAAAAGTCATTGATTTTTTTTTTTTTTTTTTTTTTTTTTTAGTTTTTTAAAATTTTGGCTGAGTAGTTTTCCTGCATAGTGATGCAGTAATCATTTCAAGCTGTCCGAGTATAGATCAAAAGAATTTGTCATAGAAATATGAGTGTTTGTCATTTTGACTTATTTCTTTGGTTGATTTTGCTTTGCCATTTTCTGGCTACCTTTTAAAAGTTTTCTTTGCTCTTTCTTCATTCATAGAAACTTAGCATTTTAGCTTTTCTTATCGTACAGATTTAATTGTTTAATATAGATCCCAGGTATGAACTTTTGACACATTTGGGATAGTTGGGTTTTTAAAAACAAACTTCTAATTTTGGAATAGGATGTTATTTATTGAAAAGCTGCATAGGTATTTCAAAGAGTTCTTACTCCGCTCATACAGTTTCCCCTAATGTTATAATTTTACATTATCTAGTATATTTCTCAAAACTACTAAACCGACTTTGGTATATTGCCGCTAACTGAACAACAGGCCTTACTCATATTTCACCAAGTTTTTTCACTAATTTTATTTTCTTGGGTATCATTCTGTACTTAGGGTTTGTTAATTTTTTATTGAACATTTTGTTATATTGCAAGGGCGTTATTTAAGATGGCTAAATTGGATTTTCTGAAATGTTTTTAAACTATATGCTAATTATTGGACCTCCTTATTTGAATATCACACATTTGCCTTAAACTAAATAGAATTTTGCCTGTCTGGTATTCCAAAGTAGAACACTGGAAATCATTTTATTTTTAGACTTGTTGCCTAGATCACTCATTTATTCAACAACTAAATGTTGATTCCTTATGTTATACCTGGTTCTAGACTAGGATGAGGAGTTGCTGGCTAATAAGAACATAATTCTTGCTCTCTTAGAATTGATATGCTATTTGATCCCCTGTGCTTAATCTTATTATATCCTTCAATTTATCTCTAATCAAGGTTTCTTAACCTTGGAAGTGGTGACTGTTTGGGGGTGAGTTAATTTTTTGTTATAGGCTGATGACCTTTGCCCTATAGGATGTATTATCATCTCTAACTCCACCCACTAAATGTTGGTAGCACCCTCTCTGGATGGTAGCATCCAGACAATGCTAGTACCTCCAGGACAAAGTTACCATTTCTCTAAACTTTGTGAAATGCAAATATGATCATGCCTTGCCTCCACTTCTTTCTCTAGTGACTTTAAATAGTCTCAGTTGTTTTAATGGGGCACAGAAAATTGACCTTTCCTCACCTGTACCTTGTGCTCTCCAGCATTGTGCAACTGTTTGGCAATTCTTAGAGTCAGACATGTTTTGTTTTGTTATCCCTTTGTCTCTTCACATCTTGTATTTCTCTGTGAATTATCCCTTATTTTTTGTAAATTTTAAATGAGCATCTTTTAAA